CATGTTCAACACGTTGACATTGTCTTTTTTAATTTAGTTGAACTGACCCTCCAACCGTTCTATGATGTTTACCAGCTCATGGGCGAGGGGTCCTTCCCTACCCCCCATGAGACTTGTACGGTTTGTTGGGATCACTACCTGGAATGGCTAGCACGTTCTTGGCTAACGATTTGGTTCCATTTAAAGCTATCAGTATGGTGCACTGATTTAGACATCAAGAGATCTAGAAGAGGGTTTGTCTGCTTCTAGTGACATATGTTTTCATCTACAGTCACGTGATCGAGTGTTAACCATCATGCTGACTACAGGGAAGTTCTTTCTTTTCCCACAAATGATGCCAAATTATGTGGGTGATTTCTTGCACAATGATGAGATAGCAACACTTTGGTTGTCGCTCGAGAGTTGCTCTCTAGTTTGAGGACGACAAAAACCTGACAATCACAAAGAAAGGTTAGAAGGGAAGCTGGAGGTGTCTCCGATGATTCCCCTCTAATGCTAAAGTCAGTTTCTGAGGAGAGGAGACACAATGGTAAGTGTTGGATTCTGAGAGCATAACTTTCTCTCTCGTCTAAGACTATTATTTATACTTTTCTAATAATTGAGGGTGTCTAATCAAGAACATTTGTATGATCCCATTTGATGGGAGGGCCCCTGATTGGCTCACCCTTGAGATAGAAGGGATGTTTCTTTGACCTTTTCAGGTGGCAAGATATCAAGTAGTGTCCCTTAGACCTCGATGCTTGATCCTTTGCATGCATATCCATATGATGTATATTGATTGCATTAATCCCGCAGCCTTTAGATCCTCGCTGATCATTAACACTCGCGTCGAGCATTCTGTGAGACTTGATGTTTGATAATGTGCTCTATAGGAATAATTGCTTGACATCACGTCTTGCGCTGAGTGATTAATATCCTCTTTTCTCTCCCCTTGAGCATTTAATTTTCCTTAGTCATTTATCAAATGCCTATGAGGAGCATTTATTGCATTCTCAAGGGCCCCTCTTATGATTAGTTGTAGTGTACTATTCTGATGAACCTAAATACCTGGGACGAAGGGCCCACGCCTATTGACAGTCAGATACAATTTCTCACAAGACATTCATTCATTTATTCTCAGGTAGGCTTTCCCACCAATGTAGAACCATCCAACGACAGCTGTCTTCTAGTATGTTGACTGACATGGTCGGCATGTAAGGTTAATCACCTCTTATGCCCCTTGACCAGGTCTACATTGGTGTTTTGATCATCTCAACTTAAAAATTCTTTGGTTGAATCATGAAGATCCTTTGTCGGCATGTACAATAATACCGAGGAGATCCTACTGCTCTTAAATTAATGTGACGATACCGAGGGAATTCCCTCCCCTGAGGACATCCTCCAATGCCGAACCACTATCACTTCTACACTTGTTGGCAGAGTATGCCACGTGTCTACTTTTGGTTGGTGCAACAGACCATGTCCCGTTAGATTCTTTATTTGTTTCTTGATTAATTATTGGTGTGAGATTATTGAGTGCTTGTTTATTTTAAGATCCTACAATAAGCAATGATTTTGAAATCGATATTGAGAGTTTTGGAAATTGAAACTCTCAAATCAGAAGGACTTTTCTCATGATTTTTTTTTTCTGTTTATACATATATTGTAAATGATTTTGGGCATACTTAAATGTTTGAAGCAGTCAATAAACAAATTCAAAACCATGAGAAAATCCTAACTGGCTCTGATACCAACATTGAGAATTGTAAAATATATTGCAGAAACGCATGATCAAAGGCATACCTTATTCGTTTTAATCACAAAAACCATTTGAGGATGTTCCACATATTTTAGAATTCAAATCGTCTTTTCTTTGATTGCTCAAGTAGTATGTTGTTATTACATAAGATGAATCAACACCAAATTTTCCACAACACAAAAGCCCTCCAGCGTTATGTAGGGAGAGAAAAAGAGAGTAGGATAGTTTTAATGTATAGAGAATTTCATCATATGTCTATTGGTTGTCTTTGAGTTTATATAGGTAACCAATAGATGCCTTGGGAGAGACATGTCTGTTAATGGCTTAACAGACATGTCCTTTGGGTGTAAAGGACTCCGCTAAGAGTCATACCCCATGGACATTCTCTGATTGGGTCGACCCACAATGAGTGCGCTGATTTGGGTCCATGACCTAGACCCAATATCTAACAAAAACAAAAATGTATCACATTATTTTTATTTATTAGAGGACAAAATAAAACTTATAGTTAGAGTGTATCCACCCTAAAAAAATATTTCTGGCACCCTAATATTTTTTTATCAGCAATTCAATAAATGGTAACAATTTATTGGTTCGTTGGAGCTGATGTGGTGATATTGACAAAGCAAATGCTTTGATCTAATGCTTGATTTTCTAGCCATAGCTTCTAAACTCATTTTAAGATTAAAATTTAAAAAAATTTCCTAGTCAAATTGACCACATTAGCACCACATCATTCAATTTTAGTTTTTGGTTATATTATTTTGATTAATAACCAATAATTTAGCAGTAACCACTTTTTTTTTTCTTTTGTAGTTAGATAAGTGGGTTTTGTGCAAAATGTATGAGAAAGCAAGTAAAGCCAGGATAATGGAGACCAACAACACGAGGATAATAGGGGTATTATAATTGATGATGAAGGGGTACTTCTACTTCCCGAGAGAAATGCATAGCCAGTTCTTGTTCAAGACCCTCAGCTTCCTCCTCTTCCACCAACTTTCAACGGACTCAACAGTTCTCCTTTGTTGGAAATATCAGATTATCCCGAGTCATTCGATTCATTGGCCGGAGACGATGACATGATGCCAGCACTACTGTTTGACACCACTCATCCAGAACTAACTTTTGATGATAAGGGTGGTTGTTTCTATTTTTTTTTCTTAGTAACAGGAAATAATCTCAACCACACTTTCTTTGAACTCATATATGTTAGTTTTTTTTTTTTTTGTGTTGTATACTGTGAGATTTATTAGTACTCGATAATGTTGTTTGATCAAATTTTCTTCCTAATTTTTTTTACCAATTGACATGTTGCAACTAGAACCATTATATATTAGTGAGATCCACTAATCCGTGGTTTACGTGAGTTTTTAAGTGAAAAAGTTGATAAGTAAATATGGCAACAACAAGACTTCAAGGATGTTTTATTAAGACGGATCATCTACAAGGATGTTTATAACTCAGGTGCTTGTTCCCAGTAAGTAGTATGCTACTCTCTAGCCGATTTTGCAAACCACGGACAAATCCCAAAAAAGGGCAAACTCCTCGTTAACCTCACTGATTGACTTCATTGTCGCCACTAGAACCAGGGCCGGCTGCCTAGGGCCAAATTTTAGAGGACTCCAAAAATTGTAATTAGTAATATTTTAGGTCTAAATTTTATGAATTTAAGTTTAAGTAAGCCATCAATGTCAAGGATGTCACACTTGATCATTACAGTATTATGTCATTTTACTAAATTCAAGGGAATGCGTGTGCTTAATTCACTAGAAGAAATAATCCTTTTAGTGGCTAAATTATTATTGGCCAAACATAGATCATCACTAAAATGTAAGGTTTGGTGACGACAATAAAATATCCGCTACAAAGATTTAATGAGAAATTTTTTAGGTTTTTGTGACCAATTTATTTGTTACTAAATGTATTTTTTAAGTGATGAAAGAGTATTATCACTACAAATTGTAGAATTAGTGATGATTATTTTAATTTGTCACTATAGACAACTAGCAACAAGCTTCTAGTGACCACCTAATGATGACTACAAAATTATCACTAAAACTCTTTAGTGACGAAATACGCATTTATAATGACAAAAAAAATTTGTCACTAAAGCCCATATTATAGTATCCAAGCTTTATGTCAAGTATATCACACTGAATCATCACACTATGATGCCACTTTATTGTTCCACATTGGGTCGTTACACTATGATTTCTTTTTTTCTTCTATTCATTTCAGTGTTTTTCCAAAATCTAGAAAACATGTTGATTGATGATGCACAAATCGATTTTATGCACCTCCTGTTACGTAATTAATGATTAATGCAGTAATTAAGTGGAGAGAGAATAACACAAGCAAGAAAAAAGATGTAGAGTGGTTCGATTGACGTGACCTACTCCATTATAAAGGGCTAGGATGACCTGGTGTTTTATTACTTCAAGGAGTGCAAGGAGATCAGGGGATAGCAATGACGATATAGACTATGAGAGAGAGATGAGAGTGGTAGCAGATATGTTCGATGCCCCCCAAATATTGGCGGGGCTTACAATTTGTAGTGCCTCTTAATAGACTGAGGCTCTTTTTCAATAACTAAGTAGCTAATTTGGTGGAACTGACGCTATTTTCTCAATGGATGAGGCAGTTACAGAACTCCCCTTAAGATCAGGTCAAAGGATGATATGGTTGTTGACTTTTTTCAAGGCAGCATGGATGAGGCTCTTGGGATGACCCTGCCTACTCCTTTGGTAATGTAGCTCTTTGAACTCTGATGAGCTTTACTGGGCATGGACCCATTGGATCTTTTCTAGTTGGACTCTTAATTCAAACTGGGCTTATAACTTGAGTTGGGCTCTTGGGTCTGGCACATCATTTTCCCCCTAATGCCCTGTGTCCAATGAAACTTTGAGAAGAGGGCATTTGGTTGAATTTGAATTCTTGCTGACAGAAACTCCCTGTGACTGACAATCTCTTCCTGATATATAAACTTCTTTTGTATATAGGACATCTTCAGCTATATAAACTCTCCTCATTTTATTTCCTATTAGAATCTCAAAAATCCCAAGGCCATAAATTGGGGGTTTCTTCGTTCTCTCCTCATTTCATTCATTTCGAGAGGGGATTCCTTTTTGAGATACTTGAGAACCAAGTTGGATGAGTGGGAGTAGAGATCTTGTTTTGAGATGAGTGTAAGTATTCGTTGAACCAAGTTGGATGAATGTCGATCGAAGGATAAAATGTGTAAGTATTTGTTGATCTTGGTGAGGAGCTTGGATCGATCGAGTTCGAGGCGAGATCTCAAATGAACATTGTCGAGGCAAGGAAGTTGGGAGACGTTGAGGATACAGAGGAGAGGAGAGGTGAAGGCAAGGAGCAAAAGGGCAAAACGCCGCGGACGTCACTAGTCATGGTGACCCAGGTCGTCGAGATCGAGGCGCCATAGACACTGCCTAGTGTGGCGACCCAAGAGGCACTGGCTTATGGGCGAGCTAGCCATGAGTTGGAATTGAGGCGTGCTGAGCATGGAGATTTGGGTGGCACCATTGGGTGCTTGGCTTAATCAAGCAAGCATGCCATGGGTGTTCAAGGCAAGGCTTCTCTGGCGCTGCAGACTGGAGGTCATGCCAATCATGGAGGAGGATCTAAAGTCAAGGCATAGATCTAAGGGGTCATGGCACCATTAGCTGGCACCGAGACCGTGGCACCATGGGCGTTGTGCGTTGGCGAACAGGTGGAAGCTCCATTTGATGAGGCTGATCAGAGAGTGAGCATTGCAGAATTGGTACCTTTAGGTGCTGGACAAGGGTTAATGGGCACGAAAGAGGCATCGACGGCTACTGGGCATAACCAGGCAAGCGCACAACGGTTGGGCATGGAGCTAGGAAGTAGAGTACAGTGGAGGATGCTGACGGCTATAATTCTGGTCCAATAACGGGTGATTTGGTTCGTTCATGTGGAACTCCACGGAGTCAGATACCTCAAAGCTCTCCTGGTAGTTGCCTAGGCATTGTTTCACACCCTCGTAACGGAAAACACCGGGGAAAGGTAGCTTTTGATGACGATGGATCAAAAGTGAGTTCCATTTCTAGTATCCTTAATACTGACTCTGATTTTCTGTAGATCGTTTTCACTTAAAATATTCTCCCAATGATATTGTGTGGTCGAGTTGAAATGGGTGATCCTACTTGTGATGACTCATATGGAGACATTGACATTTATGAGGAGGTGTTTAAGGCTGGGTTGAGGTTCCCAATGTTTTCTTCTATTTGTAGCATTCTCCATTGTTTTTCACTTGCACCAGCGTGGTTGGCGCCCAACAGTTGGAGAGTTTTGTTGGGATTCCTGGCACATAGAGAAAGGTGCATCATGAGGATGCTTCTCTTGAAGAGTTTTGTGTGGCTTACACTCTGAGTGAGACTCCTAATCTGAATCGCGGCTAGTATTATTTTGCTCCAAGGAGAGGAAAATTGATTATCAAATTGTGTTCTAATTGTCATAGCTAGAAGGCCTGCTTTATGTTTGTTGGAGGAGAGTGGGCTTTAGAGGCTGATAGAGCTTTAGTACCAGCAAGATGGGACACTCCCAAAAGAATTGGTATGCCTAATCTTATTCTTTTTCTTCTGCCTTTTTGCAAATGTTTACTTATCACATTCCTTCTAGGCTCTCCAGTGCTCTCGAAAGATCAAGAATGGAAGTTGCAAGCTGTGAAGGCTCATCCTGTGAAGGACTTTGGGACCCTTATACTCAAAGAGGGGGGAGTTAGAGATTCCCTTGCTGGAAGTGCTTGGGGGTGGTGTGCCCTCTTCAAGGCCTGGTGGTTCCTCATTAAAGAGAAAAGGTATGCTGATTCTCGTGGATTTTCTTTCTTTACTTAGTTTTTTTCTAGAATAACACTTTATCCCTCTTGCAGTGGATAGGATAGTGGTGGAGTCCTGTTATTCCACTAGGACTACTCCTCCTCCTAAGGTGGCAAGGGTAAGCAATACTCTGGCGAACCCCTCTCAAATGACGCCTCCTGTGGTACCTCCCTAGTCAGTGACTCATTTTGAGGTGACCACCACTCCAGAGACTCCTCAAGCAGCTATACCTCCTGCCCCCCATTCATCAATTCCTTTTGTGGGGACTTCTACAGGGGTAGCCACTCAGGCTGTCTCCATGTTGGATGATGTACGGATTGTTAGGGGCCGACTTGAGAGATTTGTGTTTCCTGCAAACATAAGTATGGTTGGTGCTCCGGGCACTAAGGGTATCATTGACACTGCTCTAGAAGGCTTGGCCCAGGTAAGGGTTTGTTTCCTCCTTTACTCTTGTCTCTCCCTTAGGTACGAACATTCTTTTATCCTTTTTAGGTTTCAGCTACTTTTGTATGCCTTTTTTCGAGGGCTATCCAGTTTAGCCAGTTGAGCTCAATTGTCAGGGGGGAGAGGCTTGCTCATGAGGCTGTAAAAAGAGAGTTTTTTTGTTGCTCAAGGAAGGATTGCTGAGCTTGAGACTAATGGTAGTGCTTCCCAGGCTGAGCTTGTGGCGACCTGTGAGAAGGCCGAGCTCAAAGAGATTGCTTGCACAAGGGCTAATGTAGAGCTTGTGGCAACCCGCGAGAGGATCGCTAAACTTGAGGTGGATGGTGAGGTTGCCCGCTTGAGAGCGAAAGCAAAGTTGAAGGCAATTTGCGAGAGAGTTTCTCGGTTGAGGCGGATCTACAATTGGCTCATGAGAGGGCCACCAAGGCTGAAGCTAATTTAGAGAATGGCCTTGCAGATGCCTTCATCGATGACTATAAGGAGCTTTAAATAAAGATTTCTACTGCTTTCCTTGATATTGAATTTTCAGGCTTTGTGCCATATGACACGTCTGATGATGCTGATGGTGACTCTGACGATGCAGAGGATAAAAAAGAGGAGGATAACAACTATGAGAGCAGTTAGAGTGCTGGGAACTTTTGATTTTTTTTTATATAGAAAGGCAGTGTGTAGCCTTCTTTTGTAAAAGTGACTTTTCACCATTGATATTCACTTGAAATAGAATACAGGGATGGAAGGAACTTTTTGAAGTAAATTTTAGAAAATTTTATTTGATGACTGCTTATTCTAAGCAATGGTGGGTAATAACCCAAAAAAGGTACAAAAAATAAAATCAAGCCCCCAGCTTTATTACTTTTGCCCTCCTCAAGTGTCATTGGTAGTACATTTTCAGATATTCAGCATTCCATTGATGGGGGTAAAACCTTTCCTTCCGAATTCTGGATCCTGTAGGTGCCTAGCCTCACTACTTCTGGTATAAGGTAGGGTTTTTCTCATTTTAGTCCAAGCTTCCCTTCTTGTGAATCCTTCATGACGAGGATTACCTTCTTAAGGACTAAGTCTCCTGGTAGGAAAGAACGAGGGTTCACCCTCGAGTTGTAATATCTCACCATGTGGCACTTGTAATCAGCGTTGCAGACCATGTCCATTTCTCTTTCCTCCTCTACCAAGTCGAGGTTAATATGAAATCCTTCCTCATTGGTGGTGGGGTCGTGATGTTGAACTCTTAGGGAGTGTATCTCAATCTCCATAGGTATAACTACTTCGGTTCCAAAGGCGAGTGAGAAGGGAGTTTCTCCGGTTGGGCTCTTGGCGTCTTTTGGTAGGCCCATAATACACCCGAGAGTTTGTATACCCACAGACCCTTTGCTTTTTCTAGCCTCGTCTTTAGGTTGTGCAATATTATTTTTACTGTGACCTCTGCCTATCCGTTTGCTTGTGGGTGCGCCGGGCTAGAATGAGGTTATTTTATTTAGAGGCCGACACAAAACGAGTTCAAGAGTCTATTGTCAAATTTCTTGGCGTTGTCACTGATTATGGCGTGGGGTACTCCAGAGTGGCAAACTAAGTTTTTTCAAATGAAGTCATTGACCTTTGCGTCTGTAATCTTCGCTAAGGGCTCGGTCTCCGTCCACTTCGTGAAGTAGTCGATGACCACCACCACTAACTTGCACTGCCCCTGCTTGGAATCAAGGGGCCTAAGATGTCGATGCCCCATTTGGAAAAGGGCTATGGACTTATGATGGCTATCAGCTCTTCTGGTGGCTGTCTGGGCACAGCAGTGAAGCGTTGGCACTTGTCACATTTCCTAGTGAACTCTTGTGTGTCCTTAACCATGCTAGGCCATAAGTAACCCTATTTGAGTGCTTTGTGGGCTAGGGAGCGTCTTCCAGAGTGGTTTCCACAAACTCCATTATGGATTTCTTGTAGGGCATAGTTAACTTCCTCTGGGGAGATGCAACGCAGTAGTGGTAGGGAGTAGCCCTTTTTGTAGAGGATGTCCTCCAGAATGGTGAACTTGGTGGCTTTCATCCTGAGTTCTTGGCTTCTAGTAGGTCTTCTGACAATGCACCCTCCTGAATGTATGCCTTTATTGGGGTCATCTAGTTTGACTTGGCAGATGTGCAGTTGAAGTTAGTGGCTTCCACGTCTAACCTGCTTGGTTCGAGTTGGTGACCGATGAATGCTGGTTCTGGTGGGGTGTCCGAGGATGAGGTATTTTTGGCTAGTGCATCTGCAATAATATTGTCTTCCCTTGGGATATGATGAATTTGAAAGTGGTGGAACTTAGTCAGCAAGGTTTGCACGATAGCAAGGTACTATTGCATTTTAGTTCTTTTTGCTTTCACCTCATCCTTTACTTGGTTGACTATTAACTAAGAGTCACTGTAAATGATGAGGTGTTGAGCTTCTATTTTAATTGTCAACCTTAAGCCAGAGAGGAGGTATTTAATCTGCTTCATTGTTGGAAGCTGTAAAATGAAGCTTTATGGCATACTTGAGTGGAGTGCCATCAGAGCTGTTCAGTATCATGCCCGCTCCACCTCTTTCACCGATCAAAGAGCCATCCACATAAAGCTCCCAATGAGGTGGCAGAGAGGGGGCCTTAAAGGACGTTAAGGCGACTACTGTTGGTGCCAAGATGTCCTGGTGCGTCCAGGTAGGGCACCAGGTTGCTCTGGGCACCAGATCTAGGTGCTTTTGCACTTGGTTAGGCTTCCAATGAGGCTTCCTGAGGTGCCAAGGTTTTGCTATCTTCCTCCGCTGGTGTGAGCTCGATAACGAAATCTGCCAGGACTAGTGGTTTGATGGCTGCCCTTGGTTGGTATTGCATATCAAACTTGTCCAGCTCTATGGCCCACTTTAGGAGTCTTCTAGAAATGTTTGGCTTTCCTAAGATTCTCTTTAGAGGTTGGTCTGTGACGAAGATGATGGTGTGACTCTAAAAATAATGTTGAAGATGCCTTGTTGTTAAGATCAGGGCGAGTGCCAGCTTTTCTAGCCCTGAATATCATATCTATGCTCCTTGGTATGCCTTGCTCACGTAATAAATAGGCTTTTGCACCCCTTTTTTGTCCATAATGAGAACAGAGTTTACTGCTGATGGGGAAGTAGAGACAAGTACAAAGTTTCACTTGGCATG